AGCTTGCGGACGCTGCGCCCAGGAGAAGCGGGAGCGCGAGTGGCCGCCGCCGTCTCCCAAGCGGCCGCAGGGGCGAATTAGTGGCGGGAAGCGCGGGCGCTCTCCCGGCGCCGGGGCCAGTGGGCTGTGGGCGCGTCGGCTTCTGTTCCGTCACCGCAGGCGTCTCCCCCTGCCCCGCGTCCCTGCCTGGTAGAGGAAGTGCTCGGCACCAGCCCCTAGTCCTCTCCTCCCCAGCCCGGGACGAAGGGAGTGGGATGGGGTGAGGGGGGTAGAGAAGGCCAGGTAGGAAAAAGCAGCCTTTCGGGACTCCCTGCCACCGGGGTGGGGCCAGCTCACAGGGCAGGGACATTGTCGGGTGCAGATGGTGCGGTGGACATCCCTTTTTAGGAGAAGGAAGGAGTGGGCGGGTGGGCTAGTGGCCATCTGCCCTCCTGGTTCATCTACCAAGCACTCTTGCTTCCAAATGGGAATCCTAAGGAAATGGCCTTTGCGGACCAAGGGTGTCTTTTCCACGTTCTGCCAACTGCTGCACTTTCTCCGGTAAAGGGGCGAGGAATGTCTCTCGGAAAACATTAAATCTTGCTGCAGAAATCCAGCAGTATCTCTCTCCATCCCTGTCCCTACACCACGAAGTGGAAATTCAAAGCTCTGGACTTCGTGTGCACAGAGTACTACTGCCTCTTGGCTGTCACAGAAGATTCTATCCAGAGTTTTGGTGATTGTTGATTATTGTTGTTGTTGACATCGTGTCTTAATTTAAATGTTCTTAGGCGAGGTGCCTTACACGTAATGTATTGGAATCGATCCCATTTTCACTCAGTGCCCAATCACATGGGCCAATACAGTAGCTTCAACAATCCTCGCTTCTCACCGTCTTGGGACTTCCCAAGGTTTTACTTTGCTTTGGGCTCTACCTTCCTCAGCTACAAATGTGGGGAGAAAAAATACAGTTCATCTTATTGCAATTGAAAGGTACTGTATAAACTCACTGCCCTCGAATCGGATCCAACTCATAGCGACCCTCCTTGGGTTTCCTAGGTGGTATCTCTAGGGAAGTAGATTGCCCAGTCTTCCTTCCCCAGGAGTGGAATGCCTTAGGCATTATGCCACCAGAGCTCCTAGGGTACTGTGTGGGTCTCTTCAAATCACCGTCATCCAAAATGCTGACAAATGTCTCATAAGAAGACTCAAAACAGCTCAGCTCTGGGCTGAGCCTCTTAGAGCCACTCTTTCCCCGTTTGTGAAATGAGAAGGCTGCATCACACGCTCCCTAAGGCTCTTCCTGCTCTAAATTCTTAAGGTCCTATGACTTTCATAAGGTAAAAGATGATTTCTGTTAGATGCTAATAAAATTGATATGGCTGTTACTGAATTAGAAACAGATATAGAGTGAACATAGGTTTTAAGGTCTACTCTATGGCCACTGTTTTTTTTTTTTTTAATGTGTTGTTACATTTTCCAGTGAGTTAATGAAAGATTTAGCCAACAGTAATGCAGCATAATCCTTGGGCGGTCAACATGTTCAGCTGCTGACTGAAAAGTTGGACGTTCAAGCCCCCCCGCCAAGGTGCCTGGGAAGAAAGGCCTGGCAATCTACTTCTGAAAAATCAGCCTCCGAAAACTCTGTGTAGCCCAGCTCCCCTCTGACACACATGGGGTTGCCATGAGCCAGAATCAGCTTGAAAGCTCAAAGCAAGTCCAAAACTTCATCCACTTAGGGCAACATTTCTAATTCCCAAGTTCACTGCTAATATACTTGGTGAAATGAGAAAGACGCTTGAATTTGATATGAAAAATACAAAGCTTTTTTCATATTTGCATGTGGACAAAGGGCAGCTATTTGTAAACTTTCTATTTTTCCAGGAAAAGATATCCCTGTGCATTCCACTCTCTATTCCCTACTCATTTATCCAGGTCATCTCTGGCTCTGGCTTTTCCAGAGGGAGACAAGTGGTTACATGTCCTCCCTGCCTTCCCTCTTTAAAGCTATCAGCAACACGAACCAAGGATGCCTACACTTTGAAGAGGCGGGAATCCATTTCTCCCCTACAATAAGAAGCTGTTTGTATAACTCTTAAGGAGTCTTTATGAAATGAAAGTGAAACTACAGATATTTCGTGTATAGAAAATAGCAAATAAAATCAATTTCCAACACTCTGCTCAGTGAGTTCACTAGAATGTTTAGGTTTAATCACCATAAAGCCAACAAGCTTGGCTTTTCAAATGATCAGACCCATGTGGGGGAAATGAGACAAATGATAAGGTGCCCTGCAGCAGAGTCAGTGATGATGGCAGAAATGTGCAGCTAGGAATGCAGCTAAGAGCGCTGAACAAAACTGCTACACTAGCCGTGAGCTGGGTCAGTTGGCAGTGAGAGGGAAACTGAAGACAGACAGGCCTGCCCTGAGTGGGCTGAGAGGAGGCCTGCACAGCTGGGAAGGAGTACACGTGACAGAGAGAAGATGCGTCTTGGTTGCCTGTTGTTGTTATGTGCCGTAAGTTGGACCTGACTCATAGTGACCACTCCTTGGGTTTCCGAGGCAGTATCACTACAGAAGTAGATTGCCCCATCTTCCTTCCGAGGAGTGGCTGCCCCATCTTCCTTCCGAGGAGTGGCTGGGGGGTTTGAACCGCCAGCCTTCTGGTTAGCAGTCAAGTGCCTTAGCCACTATGCTATCAGAGCTCCCTAGCCAAGAGGAACTGAGAGAGCAGTCCTGCTTTGAAGAAGGAAGAGATGTGCTCTTCATTTTGGGGAGCCGTCCAGCCTTTGCCTGCGTGCTTCCTGATCCTGATCCTGACTTGTAGCCTGTTGATCCTGATCCCAAGTGGTACCCTGTTATTTCCTTAATAAACCACTTAACTGTAAGTATGGTCTTTGAGTTCTGTGGGGCCATTGCAATGAATTCTCAAACCCGGCAGAGAAGGAGAGCGTACCATAGGAGGGACGGAGGTGTCAGAATTGAAGAGAAGGTTAGAGAGTGGAAATATGTCAGACCTCCACCTCATGGGACTCCACTTTGGGCTGATCTTAATCATTATCTCCCCTGAAGTTAGACTTGTTACGTCGTGACTACTACCAGATTACACGGGCATTCTCCCCATGTCTATTCCCTGGTTTCTCCAGCCCTAAATTGAAAATGCCGTATTTACTTGTAACTACTTTGAGATTTCTCCAGTGAATGTTATTAAGATATGTAATGTGTGAGCTACTACCCTTGATCAAGGACAGTTTCTTCCTAGCCAGGAAAATGAATCCACAGGAAAAACTATTGAGAGTTAAACATGAGGCCTCTTCATAATGAACCCCAGAATTGAAAGAGCATTTGGAGGTCTCCATCCATGCATCTACTTTAAATATAATAACATACAAAATGAAACTCTATTCTGGAAAGTTACTTTGTTTAGAACCACACACCTCATTTCTGCATCAGGGATGGCTGAAGCAGAGACAAGGATGGAAGGAGGACAAGGAGAAATGAAGTGACGAGAAGAGAAACAGAAAGATAGGATACAGGGAAAAGATCTGTCAGAAGAAGCAGCGATAGATACAGGTACAGGAATAAAAAGGCCAAGATACACCTTAACCCACTACCATCGAGTTGATTCCAATGCATGGTAACCCCATGTGTTACAGAGCAGAACTGAGCTCATAGGACACCCAAAAGATGAGGCACCCAAAGGCAAAGCAGAAGACAGTGAAGGCTTTCACACAATATCATTCCTTTGAAGGTGGTGCCAACAAATGTTTGCCATATTGCATTTGAAGAAATGTGGCATAAATCAAGAGACCACTTGCTCTTAGAACTGTGAGTGTGGCCAGGAAGCAGTAAATCGCCCTCCTTTTCATTTTTTTCCTGTACTTTGCACGTTATAAAGAATACCTGTGAAATGCAGCCTTGTACTCATGTCTCCATGTTTGCTTCCCCACTAGACAGCAGGCCCTTGCTGGGTAGACTGTCAGTCAGCAGGCATGGCAGGCAACACTGGGATTAGGATCAGAGAATCTGAGTTCCAATCCTGGCCCTACTGCGCTGACGTGGAAAAGAGTACTTAACCGTTCCTGTAAAATTGGGATTCCTCTACCTATTTAGCATAGTGGCTAAGTCACTTGCCTGCTAACCAGACGGCTGGCGGTTCAAACCCTCCAGCCACTCCTCGAAAGGAAGGTTGGGCAATCCTACTTCCGTAGTGATACTGCCTCGAAAACCCAAGGAGGGCTCGCTATGAGTCGGGGCCGACTCGACGGCACATAACAACAACAACAACTACCTATTTATGGTTCTTCTTCATATAGTCCAACTTCTCAGGATTATTTACTCAGCATACAGATTGCATAAGGATGGTTGTGAGAATTAGGTGAGAAATATTTTCAAAAATATTGGTAGAGAGTGGAATAAGTCAGTTGCAAAAGGATAAATACTGTCTGATCTCACATGAGCTAAGCAAATATATGGAAAACATTGTTAGTGGCTATAAGGGAGGGGAAAAGGGAGAGTGTCTGCTTAGAGAGCATTGAGTTCATGGTGATGGAATAACTTGGAAAGCATAGTGATAATGTTGGGCTGTATGAAGGATGAAATCAA